TCCAACCTGCCCAGAGGATTGATGTGAATATCTTCAGCGAGCCCTACAATTCCTGGTCAAAATTTAGCCAGTGATGTGATGCTGTGAGTCCATTGCACTTATCTAGACTAACAAATATATGGACAGAAATTCGGGGTCTTAAAAGACGACCTTGCTGAAATAGTTACACGTCTGCTGGCTCAATCATCTGGATGCAAGTGCAGGTCGTCCAGTAATTTGGTTTATGGTCAAATATTTGCTTAACTAATGACCTTCACATCAGCCCGAGTTGTACTGTGTGTTTAGCCCTAATTAGCAAATGTTAGTGTTACAGAGGTAGTGTCGTGACATTGTCAGTGTGAGCATGTTAGCAGGGTGATGTCAGCAGTCGGCTCCAGGCACCACCACTGTGCAGCCTCACAGAGCTTGTAGCATGGGTGCTGCTATGAACTGTAGAGTTGAAAGTTTTCAGACTGTAAAGTTATAAATGACATAATGGGAGCGGTGCTGAAGCAAGGCAGTTGGTGTGCAAACATTACTGGAGTCTGGCTCTTCACCGCCTTATTCATTGTGCCCTCTTCCCGTGTCTCCATATTGCTCTGTCTCAGTCCCAGAGCACTGCTGCTTTTTGTATCTATAACCTTTAGTAATCTTTGTAAATCTCTGTAACGTGATTCCACGTTTGGCCACCTAAAACAATTGTTTTGTTCAGTGCTGTACTGTTTCGCCTCACGTTGAGGCTGGTATCTCAGTTTTCCTTTCTAGACGGCCGTGAGCGTCCTCGCAGTCTTCGGACCCCAGAGGCCTCCATCAGCTTGTCCACTCTGTGTCTCTAACACCCACTCTTACGTGTCTCTCACACACAGACTGCCAAAGACAAACACACAGATCTCCATGGTAACTAGTCCCAGTGTTTTCTCTTTGATCTATGCATTTCATGTTCTCCAAGCCACAGCGTTTTTTAAAACCGCGTGCATGCACACGTGTTTGTATGTGCGTGCCTGTGATTTGAGTCGCAGCTTGAGGATATGGTGTAGCTTTGAGACGGCAGCGCAGAGGGAAATAAAATCTCACCAGGGATTGTCAGGCAGTTAGATGAAGTGATGGGAAGTAGTCAGAGAAAAGATGTTGCGATTAGAAAAGCCTTTGAACTGCTGTACTGCAGTGTCCGGGGCAGTGATGAAGAAGTGACCAAAGCCACATTTCTTTCCTAATTACACACAACTATGATCAGGATCAGCTAAGCTGGTTTTCAGAGTTAAACAAATAAATAAATAAATAAATAAAATACAAAATTACTGAGAAGAAATCAATGAATACACAAACACTTCAACAAGTGCTTCCTCAAACTGGATGAGTAACGGGAACACTCACTGTCGGATCAGTGAGTACTTTCTTAAAAGTGCTTTAAAAGTTTAAACACCCACAGCTACAAACATCTGACTGGGCATAGATATCCTATGAAGGATTCTCATTGCATCATTATATGCAACATGCAGCTTCTGCGTGCTACATTATTTGTAAGATGACCACAAGGGGGCAGTGTATAGCACTGTGCGATACACTTTAAATAAAGCCACTGTAACTGGAAGTGAACAAAAGCTGAATTTGCATGCAATAGTATTTGCCTGCACATAGAGCTTACATCGTTATCTGTATAT